TCCAAAGATTGAGCCCTGATGTTGTCCAATAATTTAAAATCCAGTGAAATACGGAGAAAACAGAAAAGTGAATTAGGTGGATCTATCAGTGAGGTAGAAGGAGACCAAAAGAAGGTTGTATCGAAGAAATTAAATTTGGCATTGAAATGCACCAAAATGACTGTGCATGTATTGTTTATGTAGTAGATAATGGCTTTTCTTACAATCAAGTATTTTTGAAGTTATCTGGCCAGTTTGTATTGGTGATTCCTTCTCTCTAGCACTAGGCAAAGGGAGGGGCTGTAGTTTATGTGAATACCAAAATTCTTCCCGTATTAAGCTCATTAAAAGATCTGAGCTTCCATTAATATCCAGGGGAAATAGGTCAGAAATTGTCTGCAATGCTAATGGGAGCTATGAATTTTAATTTTCATTGATGAATTAAGGCCAGGTGTTTTAAACACTGGCAAAACTCAGAGGTGAGGGCAACTGAAAGACAAGCTCTTTCTAACCATGTTGAAACGCGTAATATTTATGAAGCCTCTTATACATAAAATCATTCTAAGTCCTCAGAGTTATGCAAAGTTGAATGAAGCACTTGATCTTGTGTTTCAAATGCGTTGCCATTTAAATAAGACACCATCGCTGAGATAACACATTTTATAAAATGCTAATGGGAAAGGAAAAGTGATCCAGTTCACACAGAGACATATCTATGCAAAGCATGGAGAGATGTACTTAGCAATAGAGTACAGGAGAGAAGCCATAGGGAAGAAAAGACTAAGCATCAGGGGGCCAGAGCAAAATTTCAACCAATTAATAGTGTCTATAAACAAATCTCTTAGTCTAGTGAAAACCCCAGCTGCCATTCATGGTTTTTATAATGTGCCAAGCACCATTTTAAGTACATCCATATCAATTTACTTAGTTCTCATAGCAACCAGTAAGACAGGAGACGTGTTTTGTGCCTGTACCATATTCAGTGGACCTTCCCATTTTCATTCAGTGCAGTCTGCCAGAACCTCCCCACAAGTACATGCAATGGTGATTCTCTGCCTTCCTACCTTTCAGATGATCCCTGAAGCCTTAGAAAGCCACTCAGCTTGCATACAGTTGCAGTTTGGGAGCAATCCTCAACCAGGGGGGGAAAGGAGTCAATGGATGAATACCTCAGCTTTCCTGGCCTTGGAGGGAGCACTCTGAGATGCATTCTATGTGATTTCTTGGGCAATCCTCAGTGACAAAGCTTTAATTGTCCATCATGGAAACTAGCTCATGGATGCACCTTTCATTGCTTTCTTCCCTTCCTGTTTCATTATCCTACCATGACTGTCATAACTAGCTAGTAAATATTAATAATAGGAAAAGTAGCAAAGGGGAGGCAAGACTTTATGAGTGGTCATCTAAACAGCTTCTCCGGGAAGCTGCAACTTCACGTTCCACAGGGAACCAGCAGTCCCTTTCCTGTAAATCACTTGGAGAAGGGGTCCAACAAAGGGGGAGATGGATACATGCCTAGTGAAATTGAGGGGATGTAGGGAAGGTGTTTAGCTGTCAGTCTAGTCTGGAGAACCATGGATTGGCTAGGAGGGTGGAGCCACTGCCCAAGTGTGAAAAGTGCTGAAGGATTCATTGGTTAAGCTCCTACTTAAAATCCCCAAACAAAGAAACTTTCTTCTCTTGTTCCTCTTGCTTCACTCCTGCTTGCTTGCATTCACTTACTCAATGAACCATAAAATCATTCTAGGTCCTCAGAGTTATGCATAGTGGCCCTAGAAACCACATGGCCCATGGCCGTGCAGACCTCACATGCAATGGACTGCAACTGGGAACCCAAGCTAACCTAGGTAGATGCTGGACTGGACTGGACTTTAATATGGAGCAGAAACTCTTGGCAGTGACTTTGGTATTAGCCCTGTTGAAGACAAAATGGGATTTTTCCCCTGGCTACACAGAGGGAGAGGGGACCTTGGTGGGGAACTCCCTTAATGTTACGTCATCAATAAAGCTTTCCATGATCCCTCATCCACTTGTGGGGGTCTCAGAAAATTCTTGTTCCCACAGCACCCCAAGAATTCCACTTCCACCAGCAACAGGTGGGGACACAGAGGACACCCTACTTATAACACTGCATTCTTCACTCTGCGTTCTTCTGTCCCCTCCCAATACTTTCACTGCAACCAAATCTATGTCTCAGGCACTGTTTGCAGAGAACCCAAACGAAGACAAGAACAAATGGTTCCACACTTTAGTAGATATAAAAATAAAGTGATAAACACTTCAGAAATGATACAATCCAGATAAGGACCCTGATCTTCCAGGTTAAGTAATAATGAATATCTTGGAATTAAGGTTTTCATTATTCAATTGCCATAGACAAATAAAATATGTACAGTGTCAACTATAGAATTCTATGTTCCTAAATTATAATTTCTTATGTATATTTTAAAAAAGAAACATTTTCTTGATAAGAATTTAAGACCTAGAACACTGAATATTCTGGGTAAGAAAAGTTCTCTTATCCCCCTACAATTCTCAAAATAAATTAGTGAAGGAATATCCTCATAGTTTAATTTCTAAATGTTTTATTTCAATGGACAATGCATTAAAAACCCCTGTTTTTTATTATTTTTTGAAAAGTGTTCATTGTGTTCTCTGACTCTTGGCTATGGTCCTTCCTCCTAGATTTATGAGGCCTTAGATGAAAATTATAGCTGACATTTGGATAGTGTTTCACTGTTTACAGTGCTTGCCCATATGCTACTCCCCATGTAGATTCATGAAGAAGATTTATTCTAATAAAAGTTATAGAAACGAATCATAATGTTGGAGTACCAAAGAATCAAGTTAAAGACCCTGACAGGAATAGGTCGGTAGTCAGCTCGTCCAGGTGATTCCTACCACTTGTATGTCTTCAGTCTTCTTGACTCTTAGTTTGTTTATCTTTAAAGTGGGACTAATAACCTAGTATTTACTAAGAATATATGTGAATTTACCTTTAAACCATAAAACCAACTCAAGTCATAAACTGCTGTGTGGCCACCATTTGCTAATTGCAGACTGTTGGCTCTCAGCACACTTGGAGACGGAGAAGGTAAGAATCTGTGTAGGAGTAGTTAGCAATTTGCCCTTTCTTAAAAGTCAGGGAAAACATTCTTTTAATTAGTCTTTTTCCATCTGAGCAGTTTGCAAAGGGCAAGATTTTCTGTGTTCCTCATTTCTTCATCCATCTGAGGAGCAATAAATCCTTTAAATCTGCATGACATTTTCATGTGGTCTTAACATGTCAACAATACCCAAATCTTCTACTCAATCTGCAATGTCCCAAGCTCCATTCTGATCTGTTAACATCATGTCCCCTTCCTCTCTACAAGTTGTTGATACTTTTATTGTTTTTTGTTTAATTTTTTTTTCTTTGTTGATTTTAGAAAAAGAAGAAGGGAAAGGGGGAGAGAGAGATAGAAACATCGATGAGAGAGAACATCGATTGCCTGCCTCCTGCATGACCCCCACTGGGTATTTGGCCCACAACCTGGGCATGTGCCCTGATCAGAAATGACACCAGTGATCTCTTGGTGCATGGATCGACACTAAACCATTGAGCCACACTGGTTGGGCTATTGCCTTTATTGTGGTTTAAAAAAAAATGGGGGGGCATAACAAAATTCACCATCTTAATCATTTTTAAGTTTACAGTTCAGCAGTGTTAAGTATATTCACATTACTTTTCTTTCTTTAAAACTAACACTCTCTACCTATTAAACAATAACACACTATTCTCCCCTCCCAAGAGCCCCCGGCACTGGTTATTCTACTTTCTTTTTTCTTTAATTGGACTATGCTAAGTACCCAAACCATCCATTCCCATATTTTTTTTCTTTAAAACCAACCCTCACCTAGCTGGTGTGGTTCAATGGCTGAGTGTTGACCCATGCACCAAGAGGTCTTTGGTTCAATTCCCAGTCAGGGCACATGCCGGGATTGCAGACTTGATCCCTGGTATGGGGTATGCAGGAGGCAGCCGATAGATGTTGATACTTCTCTATCTCATCGATGTTTCTCTCTCTCTCTCTCTCTTTCTCTCTCTCGCGCGCGCTCTCTCTCTCTCCCCCCTTCCTCTCTCTCTAAAAGAATCAATAAAAATAATTAAAAATAAATAAATAAATAAGACCAGCACTCTATACCTATTAAACAAAGTACTGTACAGCATAGATAATATAGTCATTAATATTCGAATAACTATGTGTGGGATCAGATAGGTACTAGACTTATTGGGGTGATCACTTCCTAAGGTATATAAATGTCTAAATACTGTGTTGTACACCTGACTCTAATATAGTATGTCAACTGTAATTGAAAAATAGATTAAAAAAAAACAACAAAACTCCCCATATTTTCCTCCCCAGAGCCCCTGGCAACTACCATTCTACTTTGTGAATCTGACTACTCTCAGTACCTTATTTGTCTTTCTGTGACTGGATTGCTTCACCTAGTATAGTGTCCTCAAGATTAATTTATATTGGAGCATGGAACAGAATTTTCTTCCTTTTTAAAGGCTGAATAATATTCTATTGTATGTATATACTAAAGTTTGTTCATTCATCCATGATGAACACTTGGGTTGTGGCAATCTCTTGGCTATTGTGAATAGTGCTACTCTGAACAGGGCTTTCAATTCTTTGGGATGTAGGAGTGGGATTGATGTATCATATGGTAGCTCTATTTTTCATCATTTGAGGAACTCCATACTTTTCCCCATAGCAGTTGTACCACTTTTTATTCTCACCAACAATACACAAGAGTTGCAGTTTCTTTGCATCCTCACCAATGCTTGTTATTTCCTGGCTCTCAAAATAATTTTTTTTAGGTGACTAGCCTAATAGGTGTGAGGTGCTATTTCATTGTAATTTCTATTTGCATTTCCCTAATGATTAATGGTGTTGAACATCTTTTCATATGTTTGTTGGCCATTTGCATATTATTTTTGGAGAAATATCTATTCAAATCCTTTGCCCATTTTTAAGAACATGGAATACTTCATGAATTTATATATCATCCTTACCCAGGAGCCATGTTTATCTTCTATGTATCTTTCCAATTTTAGTATATGTCCTGCCAAACAGGCACATACAGGTGTTATTAATGAGAATTTTCAGTATTTTATTAATAGATGTTCTTCTTCTCAACTAGCCATCCCCTGACTATGTACCTACACCCAGTGTTTTTCTCCTTTAAAAATATAGAAAGGGATTTATATTTATTTTTCAAACTTATTTCTTGCTGCTCTTCAGGTCATCAGCTCTTTACATTGCTTGATCAGTGGTAGTCTTTGTGTTTTTTCTGTTTTGTTTGTTTTGTATTTGTTCATGTCCCTAGATTTGGGGGAGAGGAACATTTTAAAGTCTGGCTTAACTCTGCCACCTTAAACAACCTGATCAAGGTAGAGATGAGTAAGGAGCAATATTTCAGCCTTGCATCTAGAAGGGACATAAATCTTGCTCTTTTTTTTTTTTTTCATTTTAATCAGAAGTTCTTAATTTTCTCACCATTGATATAAAAATCATTTATGCTTGCACTGCAACCAACATAAATCATTAACACAAAAGAATAGTAGGCAACCTTTAATCAATATCACTTCCGTCTATGCGACACTGTGAAAATGAAAGAATACAATTTGTCATTGATCATAAGTCTCACAAACATTTAGCCGGAGTCTCGTACCTTTCCAGCACTTACTTTGCTCCAACCACACCGGCCTTCTTTACTTTTTTAGAGCAAATCAAGGTCATTTCTTCCCCCCAAATCTTTGCACCTCTTATTCTTTTCATCATTTTATCATTTTCATTGAGGTCTTAGCTTAACCCCATTTCCTTGGAGAGGCCTTCCTGACACCTAACCCAGTGTGCTGCCTCCTGACAGCCTTTTTCTATCATGGCATCAATTTTATTTTTTTTCACAGCACAAATCACTTTCTTAAATTATGTTATTAACTTGTGTGCTTGTTTATTGTCAGCCACCACCACCAGCCATTCAACTCTATGTCCCACAACTGCTGAGGCCTGTTTCTTTCATTGACCTCTGTATCTTCAGTGCCTGAAACAGTGCCTGATTACTAGCATACATTGAACAAATATATATCGAATGAATACACAGTGACAATGTCAGTCAAAGGTCAGCCAACTGTTTCTGTAAAAGGCCAGATAGTAAATTCTTTGGGCTTTGCTGGCCAGATGATCTCCGCTGCAACTGCTCAACACTTCCACTGTAATGAACGAGCAACCAAAGGCAATACAAATACAAATAAGCACGACTGTGTTGCAATAATACTTTATTTACAGAAACGAGTTGAGCTGGGTTTGGCCTGTGGGCTGCAGTGTACTTACTATTAGAGCAGATCCTTTGTCATTAGCTTTGTGGTCAGGGCACACTTGGACGTTCATTCAGAGGCTGGTGTTTGCCAAAAGTTTGCTAGTAATAATAAAGTGCCAAAGATAAAACTGGATTTTCTTCCAGTATATAGGCAATGATTAAGAGAACGATTAAGAGAAGATTTCTGATTTTCTATTCAGTGTCATGACTCTTGTTCACCCGGAGGCTTCAGTGGGAAGAGGAATATTGGCATTAATACCATGTGTGAGCAGAAGAAAATGCTTGAAATCATCTTTCATAAATGGCAGTGGTTCTCACACTTGAGTGTGCGTCAGAATCACCAGTCACTGCTAGACTGTGCCCGCAGAGTTTCTGATCCAGCACATTGGGGGCAGTGCCTGAGAATGTGTGTTTCTGTGCTGTACCAGGCGATGCTGATGAGCTGGAGGCTGGAAAGAGGAGAGGAAATGCATGTTAAGATGCGAGTGAGGAGATTTGGTGGGAGTAGAGGTTGTGCGAATGGTAAGTAGGACACAAGAGAGATTCTCCAGAAGAGTAGCATGAATATGGCTTAAAGATCAACTGCTTGTACAGACAGGAGAAAAAATAGGAACCCTGTAACTATAACATTGTTATCTGGGGAAATTAGGTGAAGGATTAATTCATTAATTAAAATAAGGGATCTGAGGCGGGGTTTGAAGGAAAGATGTGTGATTTTTTTTATTTATTTTTTTGTATATGTTGTTAGTGGTACCTACATCCATCCAAGTGGGATTGTCTAGGAGGCCTTTGGAAGTATGGCTGAAGCTCAGAAATAATTTCTGGGCATGGGAAAAGGTTAAAAGGCTCTTAGCAGATGTGTGGGACAAGAAGAGAAGAAAACCTCAGGAAATCTAAACTATGCCTGGGCAAGTACATTGTTTTCTTTAACAAAAGTACCAGACTGGGGTCATATTGCTGCACGTGACTAAACATGGCATTTGCCAATATAGTCCATGATATTATATTGGATAAAATGAACTACTCACTTTGACGACGTATGGTGTTAATACCTAGTTTTACAAATGTAGATAAAGGATGGTGAACACAAGAGCAAAAACAAGTGTGGAGGAGGATGACTGATAGTGTATCAGCAGGCTCTCCCCTCAGCTGTATCCTCATTGATACATCTGTCAGGAGAGATACATTGATGCTTTTGACATAAAACTGGAAGAAATGTGTTGAACAAGAGAATAGTCATGACAAGATGGAGCGAAAGGTTAACTCTTATCTTACCAGAAAATTTTTTCAAAAGTAAGTCTAGCTCACCTTGGCCAGTTTGGCTCAGCAGTTAGAGCGTCAGTCTGTGGTCCAGAGAGACCTGGGTTTGGTTCCTGCTAAGGGCACGTACCTCGGTTGCAATTTGTCCCCGGCCCTGGTTGGGTCGTGCGGGTGGCAACCACTCGATGTGTCCCTTTCATGTCGATGTTTCTCTCTCTCTCTCTCTTCCTCTCAATCCCTCCCACTCTATCTGAACAAAATATGAAAAAAAAAAATGTCCTCGGGTGAGGATAAAAAAAAAAAGTAAGTCTAGCTCGTCATTAAAAAAATAACCAAAAGCCCTGGCCGGTTTGGCTCAGCGGTTAGAGCGTCGGCCTGTGGTCCGGAGAGACCCGGGTTCGGTTCCCGCTAAGGGCATGTACCTCGGTTGCAGTTTGTCCCCGGCCCTGGTTGGGTCGTGCGTGTGGCAACCACTCGATGTGTCCCTTCACGTCGATGTTTCTCTCTCTCTCCCTTCCTCTCTCTCTCCCTCCCACTCTATCTGTACAAAAATGGAAAAATATCCTCGGGTGAGGATAAAAAAATAAAAATAAAATAAAAAAATAACCAAAAGATAGATAAAAATGATGGAAGAGAGAGTGAAGAACACATGGCACCAGCATGTCAATACTAAGATGGGAGACAATAATTTTAAAAGTTTTTGTAATCTCATTAAGTATAAATGGACTAAACCTTCCCCTTCAAAGGCAGAGAATTTCAGACTGCATTAAAAAAAAAAATCAAGAATAAACCCTATGCTGTCTATATGATAGATGAAAACAAAAAAAATAAAGATATAACATGCACACTATAACAATAAGAAACCATAGTAGACAGAGTAGACTGTAGGACAATATTATTCAAAATAAAGTGGGGCATTCTACAGGGATAAGAATGCAGTTCCCTAGGAAGATAAACCAATATTAAACATAAACATATGCAGACATTTAGCAAAAAGCTATCAGTTCAAAGGGAGAAATAGAAAACTCCACAATTAAACTTACTGATTTTCATTTTTCTCTCTTAGTCATTAATAGAACAACTGGACAAACAATTCAGTAAGTATATATTGGATTTAAACAACATAATCGGCTTAAACTAGTTGCCATTTAGAGAGTCTCTTTTTTAAGGATCAAAAGCCACATTATGGAGAAAAGGCAGCAAACCTCCCAGAGATTCTTCCATATTTATGATTTTCAGAAATGTGTATCATAAATGGCTTTTGGCCTATATGTCGTCTTTGGGACCCGAGTTCATTTTGTAACCCACCTCCTACTGGAGCCTTTTTTCATACTTACCAAGAAATTGACAGAATTTTGAAATGAGGCTAGTATTCTTTGGCAACTTACAACCATATTATTTTTATGATTTATTTACTTTTAGTCAGTTTTATATATGGGTAACCACATAAAAAGTTCCTTTTGAAACTGTTCTCTGTCATTATTTCCTTGCCTCCCAGTTCCCTCAATATCTCAACTTAAACAACGACCTTGAGTGAATAAGGCCTACACAGGAAACATTCCAAATCTAATCACATTGTTGAACTAAGAATTGTCATCACGTCTTTGTCAAGAAAAATATTTTTTAAATTCCATCTCCTGATATTTAAGATCTAGAATCTGTCAATTTGTCCAATATCACAGGCCCTACATAGGTGGTCTCTCTTTATCCTTATAGTTCTGCTTCTACACCGTTTGTCTCCTTTCTTAGTTGCTAAATAGATTCAGTGACAACCAACACAGATTAAAATGATCTTTTCCAACCTCTTTTCCCCAACTCAGTAATCATTTGTTCAGACTTACAAATTATTGAAGATAAAAGGTTTATCCAATATTTTGCATTTGAATGACATGGATAAGAAGCTTTTCAGAGTGTTGTAGGTGTTTCCTTATCATCCTCCATTCAGTCGCTGGGCCAGTGCTGCATATTGAAAAATGTTTTTGCAGTGGCATTCCGGTTCTGGTATTAATAACAACGAGTCATGCTGGCTGCTGAAATAGACAGTACAGAATCTCAGTGGCTTTCAATCATTTGGTTTGTACCTGCATGTGCATGTATACACAGGACACAAACATAGCAGAGAAGCGGGAGGTAGAGGAAGAAGGAGAACCGGGAGCTCTGACCTGTGCTGGTATCTCTGGGAAGATAGATTTTAGAGGGCTGATAAAAGTGGGAAACTGGAACGCTAACAGTTGCTGTAAGCTTGAAGAGCTTTTGCTGAGGTGCTGCTTAGAGGAACCATTAGCCAACTAAGAAGTAGCTAGTCTCTGCTTCTTCTGCCTGGTGCCCTTACTGGTCCAAGTCGCAGGAAGCCAGCTTTTAGTGAGAAATGAAATTGTAGGTTCCCAGCACCAGCCTTAGAAATAACTCTGGAGGAATGGGTGGATTTTGTGTTGAGCAACAATAGCTTAATGAGAGATGCAATGTTTTCTGACCTATTAATTTTACAGGTATTCT